ATGGGGTGAGAGCAGGGGGGCTGCGAGTGCCTGGCTCTGGGGGAGTGGGAGGGCATTGGATTAAAGCGGGGAGGAAGGGGGCTGGGAGTGCCTGGCTCTGGCGGGGGGCACTGGAACACAGCCCTTTAGCTCTTCCCCTTGTACAAGCATGCAATTCAGTGTTAAATGCATGGTGTGTCATACTGTTTCTCAAATAATGATAGCATACAGTTTTTTTCCACCAAATGGAATGGAATCAAGAGTACTGTAATACACACACACGGGGCTGATTTGTGGTTGTCAGTTTAATTTTCATATGTCCTAAGTTTTAAGTACCTAACTTAAATACTACTGTGTTAATATTTGTCATATGATTTCCTTGGAAGGTAGGCATTGCTAAATCAGCCAATGGGACCCTCTAGTCTAGTCCAGTATTGTAGCTACAAAAGTGGCCAATACGAGATGTGTCATAGAATGGTGTGTGTGTGTGCGCGCGCGCACGCACTTGCACCTGTCCACAAGAAGCTATAGTGGACAGTTATCTCTAGATAGGGAATGTTTCTTCTTCTCTCCCATCAGTTTGTGGCTGGCTTATGACCTGAAACATGAGTGGGCTTTAATCTGTTTATCTTACCTATGGTACTTTAGATGTTTTCATTATCAATAAGCCTTCATCATTTAAAAAAAAAAAACACACATTAAAACAAAACACACTTACAAACTTTTGACCTCACTGCTATTTAATGGCAGTGAGTTACACAGATGAATTGGGTAAAAAAAGTTTCCCTTTATCAATTTTTTATCATGTTTTGGCAGTTTGCTCATCAATTCCCACTTTGCACGCCTGATCTTACATTTTACCTATCCTTATTTCATTTTCTGCTCTGTAGACTTAACTTGGGATATGTTTCCACTTACAAACTTTTGACCTCACTGCTATTTAATGGCAGTGAGTTACACAGATGAATTGGGTAAAAAAAGTTTCCCTTTATCAATTTTTTATCATGTTTTGGCAGTTTGCTCATCAATTCCCACTTTGCACGCCTGATCTTACATTTTACCTATCCTTATTTCATTTTCTGCTCTGTAGACTTAACTTGGGATATGTTTCCAATTTCTGAAGGATACTTATTTGGCTCAAATAAGATCTGCTTTAAAGATAAAAAAGGAAAAGGAAATTATCGAGTTTTATATCTAAGAAATACCAGCTAATCAAGGGTAACCTGGGCATACCAATATTGCTAATAAATATGCACTTGTACATCAGTCAACCAAAGGGCAATTAAGTTGTTAGTCTTGCATGGATTATCTGTGTAAGAATATTACATGTACCTTTGAAAGTGCAAAGTTTAAGAAATACTAAGGATAGCATAAAGGCCAGCTTTGTAAGCCACTCGATTAGTTTTGGTAATCCTTCTGGGGGACAAATAGACACTTAGAGCAGGCGGGGGGAGGAGGTATGGATGCAGAATAAGGCAGCCAATACATTTAAAGATGTTATCTTTAAATTCAAGGGCAAAAAAAGAATCAGCATGTACCTGGTTTACACTGTTTCTTTAAAGAAAATTCAAAGGCGATGGTTTGCCAGGCTGAAGCACTTATTCTGAAATATGAATCTCCCTTATTGTTATTTCAACAAAACAAGTTATGTATGATATAAAAATAATAAAGTATCTTAAATTTATATTTAAAAATTATATATTAGCAAAATTATATATTCACACAAATTATTGTATTAAATTTAAACAAGACCTGAAAAATATTATACAATATACCTAAAACATAATCTAATAATAATAATAAATAGTTACAACTTTCCGATAGAAGTACATTGGTGGCCCTGAAAGCTATCAGTTTGTTTGTGTGGCCCTCAGCAGGCTTCGAGTTTGACAAGCCTGTTTTAAAATATAGGTATTACATTAGTAATGTAACAGACTGATTTAAGTGACTGGTTACATAACAGAATAGTGATAGAAATGTAGCCGTGTTAGTCTGGGGTAGCTGAAGCAAAATGCAAGACAATGTAGCACTTTAAAGACTAACAAGATGGTTTATTAGATGATGAACTTTCGTGGGCCAGACCCACTTCCTCAGATCAAATAGTGGAAGAAAGACTACTTTCTTCCACTATTTGATCTGAGGAAGTGGGTCTGGCCCACGAAAGCTCATCATCTAATAAACCATCTTGTTAGTCTTTAAAGTGCTACATTGTCTTGCATTTTGGTTACATAACAGTTAGCGGTACTGTAATTTCATATCAGAGTTCCTTCAGAATGGTAAATATGACTTATCTGTTTAATTCAATTTATTCCAAAACTCCTCCATTGATACTTTGATCTGGGACAAATCCTCAGATTTGTCACCTAAAGGGAAGGATTTGGGTGTGGGTATCTTCCCACACCCTCTGCAGTGAAGACAGGCACAAGAAATTAATTAAGCTTTCTCCACAATGTTTGTGTCTTCCTTGAGTGCTCCTTCAGCACCTTGCTTGTCTCCCCCCTGAACTGTTTTGCCCAGTGATCTGGTGTACTTTTTAAAAAAAGCTTCGAGTATACTTTAGTTTATTGTTCTTAGCTAGCAGTTTTTCAAATTCTTTCCTGATCTGTCTTATTATATTTTTACCTTTAACTTACTATGCTAGACTTGATGCTCTTCTACTTTACTCACTAGAATCTGACTTCTAGTTTTTAAAAGGATGCCTTTTTGCCTTTAATCACCTCTTTTATTCTGTTGTTTAGCCATGGTGGCATTTTTTGGTCTTTTTTTTTCTTATTTGGGAGTATACATTTAGTTTGAACTTCTATTATGGTGTTTTAAAACAATCTCCATGGAATATGCAGGCATAACTGTTCCCTTTAACTTCTGTTTAACAAACTTCCTCATTTTATGTGATCCCTTTTTGAATTTAAATGCTACTGTGGTGCAGGTTTTTTTTGCAGTTTCCCCCCCTCTTTTTGAATTTAAATGCTACTGTGGTGCAGTTTTTTTTTGCAGTTTCCCCCCCTACAAGGATGTTAAATTTAATTACATTATGGCTGCTGATAATGAGTGCTTCTGATATATTCATCTCCTGGATCAGATCCAGTACTTCACTTAGCCAAAAAGAAGTCATTAATGGTGATAAGAAATTTTACTTCTGCATCCTGTCCTGACATGACATGTACCCATTCAATATGGAGGTGGATAAAATCTCCCTTATTGTTGTGTTTGCGGCTTCTCTACTCTCCCTGGGCATTTTGGTCAGGTGAACAGAAGAATATTCCTACTACTATACTCTTTATTATTCAAGCATGTAATTTCTATCGCTGTTTAATAGTTTGAGCCATTTAAGATTATTATATTTGACTCTATACTTTCTTTCATGTATTCCTATGTATTAGTACCCCAGTGATATCACGTCCTGTTGCTTATTGTTATTTTCCCAAGTTTCCACAATGCCTGTTATATAAATATCTTTATTTAATACAAAGCACTCTAGATCACCCTACTTAGTTTAAATATTTGCATTTGTATATAAGCACCTGCACATTATGTCACTATTCAGCTGCTTGCCTTTGTGTGTTATATGTAAATTTCCAATCCTTCGAAGTCCAACACCATCAGCCCCTCCTATCCCCTATAGGCTTTTCTTCCACTTCTCCAACCCTGCAAAGTTTGGGACAAAGCAAGATGTACAGAACACACTGACTTGTTGATTACTTTCTATAGCACAAAGAACTTGCTTGATTGAGAGTAAACAATCTATAAAGCCAATTGTACATTCTGTAAAGTGTGTTGTATGGGATATGTTATGCAGGAGGTAAGTCTAGATCATCACAATGGTCCCTCCTGAGTTTAAAATAAAACAAAACTTTAGTTTAGGTTTTGTTATAAACAAGATTTTACAAAACCTAAAAAAAATCAAGAAACATCAGTGAAGACAAAACTTAGGGTTTATATGTAAATATTCCTCTAAAGGGTTCCTCAGTAGAGAACTGGGGGAATTCATCAATGCAGGCACATGAAACTGAGCAGGAAAAAGTCAAATTGACTACTGTCACTGCCCCAGTGGAGTAAAATGCAAAAAACAAGAAGTTAACATGAATGATTAAAAGTCAATGAGAATTTAAAATCTGCTTCCCATATAAAAGGTGTGAGGTGCATCATGTCAATATTAGGGATGTGAAAGCCTAACCAAACATACAGTTAACAGATGAGCCTAGGCTTATCAGTTAACCTTCATGCTTACAGTCTCCCTACATGCACCAACTCCCCCTCCCCCCACGTAAACATGTAAGGCTGCAAACTTCAGCAGTTGACACATTTACTTAAACACATTTTCACATCCCTAGTTAATACACATAGGGACATTTGCTTGTTTTACACCTGATTTTTCAGTTGAGAGTGTCCCTTTAATAGAAAGTGAGAATGAATGAGGTGAAAGATGTGACCATTTAATCTGTACTCTAGTGAAGTGTGTGTTAAGCCACCAATTCAAGCAATTGGGGTATTTAAAAGGATTATTAAAAGAGAGGGGACTTGTATGCCATGTGTGGGGGCACTCTGTCCCATATTTTCTCAGTCAAGAAGCTGCCTAATTAGGGTTTCATTATGAGTGGGGTATCCCATTTTCTCTGGGTGGCTGTGTAATCTTGGGAGTGGGATAATGTAGACTTTTTAGGGGAATAAAGTAGGGGCAAATGATAGCTCCAGGGGATTGAATCTCCCACCCCGATGGCTAAATTAGTTATTTCCCCCATGCCACCCTCATGGGTCACACTAGAGATTCATCCTGATCGCCAGAGACATTACTGCCATTTAGACTTACCTATTGTTGAAACCACAGTCCCCACAAAATAAAAGGCCCCGGTAAAATCCCATCGGGGTCTGATGTCATCGACCCGAATCCCGGCTACACTGGCTTCTTGGTATTCCCGGAGGAAATCTTGCAGCTCCGCCCGGCTCAGGTTGTGCCTCTGGCTGAAGTTCACGAACCTCTCCTCCCACTTCTCCTTGGCTTCCCTCTCGGTGGGCAGCTCGATGGCCGAGAACACGGCAGCCCCGCACAGCATGTACAGGATGATGAGCGCGGCCAGCAGCAGGAAGCGGGCGTTATCCTCATTCAGGTGACCCAGGCTGGAGCAGCAGCAGCCGCGCCACGCCATTCTCCGCCCCCGGGGACCAGGCCAAGGGGACCGCTGGAGCCCGGCAGTAAGTTTGCACCCGGCTGTAGCGGCCCCAAGCTCCCACAAGCGTAGCGGCGTCCTGGGTTAAACACCCGGGGCCTCGGCTGCCAGCGGCCACGAGCAGAGCGATCCATGGCCGCCCCGCATCTCTGCCGGCGGATCCAGCCCGGCTCTCCAGGGCACTTGGACGGCTAGGACGTGCTGCGCTGCGTGGACCTTTATCGCCCCTTTCCCGCGGCTCTCGGAGCTGGGGCTCATCCTCGGGTGCTCGGGGCCATTTCTTAAGGCGCCCCCTGGGGTCTGCTGGCTCAGACAGTGACTTTCCGCCCTCGGGACGCTGGCGCGGGCAAACAGCCAGTCTGCGCGTCTGAAGTTTCGGGTCCTTCCTTCCTCCGCCCCACACGCCTCCACTTCAAGAAGGGAAACCAACTAGCACAGCTTCAGCTTGCCACGGGGCCTGGAGGGGACCTACCTCCATGCGAAGTGGCTGCCTCTGAGGCGCTCAGGTGCGAACTCGTGAAAGACGCGGAGAGACCAGTCAGAGCCGTGCTGTACCTGAGCCTCCCCGGCATGTCTGCGCTTCAGAGCGGCCGCGGGAGCTCCCCGAGCGCGCAGCCACGCGGGAGTCCCCCTTCCGCTTCAACAGGCAGGGGAGAGATCGGAGCAGCCCCCTCCATGGTCACCGAACCGTGCCCGCAGCCTGGCTCCCGGCACAGACACGAAC